AGAATAATATTTCATAGAATAAATATTACCCGCGCATATAATACGATTATAAACGATTCCTTTTGTAGTTAACAAGTTAAATAAGAGATAATAATTTACTTACCCCACAGTTGGTCCGCCATTACCGAATTACCTCTTTCTCTTAATTGTTTCGACCGTACTTCTGTAATACAATATTTGTGAAAATGTGATTAATCTCGCATATTAGTAATCACAATAATAAAATAATCGTACTTTGCGTGGCACTCGACGTAATCGTACGCGATACACATTTTATTGTACGAATTAGAAATCCTTTCGATAAAAATCTGGACATGTGACAAGCACACCGAAAAAAGTTTAATAATAACTATTAAATGTTTAGTGAAATAATCCTAATTAAATGTTTGTTTTATATAATAAAAAATATTTTTAAATTATCTAAATGTTTAATAAGTATTACCAAACAATTACCGTATATTTAATATTTATAGAAATTAAATTGTATTATATAATATTAATTAAATAATTTTTGGTTATTTATATTCTTAACATTTATTTATATTCTTAAACATTTCATAGTTATTATCAAACTTTTTTTCAGTGCAGTTCTGATTGGTCTGCATTTTTTAATAATTCCTGAAAGAGGGATAAAAAAAAGATAGAACAGAAAGAGAAAGAAATAGTATATTCTCTTTCGCTGATTTTGCTAAAACTAGAGACCTGCAAAATGTAGTTCGCGTCCAAACTCTTATTAGTCTTTAGTACAGGGTAATAAGTATGCAACAGCTATCTTCCGACTTGAATCTCACTAATCGCTGCGCCGTGTGAATGATAATACAACTCACACGACATGGCAGTCTTGTGTATGAAAATAAAACTATCATCCAAACCTCATTCTCCACGACGGTAACATTTAACGGTAACATTTATTCTGAAAAGTAATTGTACTTAAATAGTCTATGTGTTTTTTTTTCTTTAACTTTAAACTACATTGCGCACAAGCAAAATTATCTTGAAACGTTTAATGTTGTATAAAATAAAATCACGTCAAATATCTATTCTTCGCATTCCGATAAATAAGCTAATATCTCACACTTCATTATTTTTTTTTATAGTTTTATTTCACAAGCTGATTAAAATCATCTATCTTTACAGAAATTTGTACCATAAGGTATTGATTAAGGTTATGATTAATTACTTATGAAACACTACGCTTTTAATATTAAAATTAATAATATCAACAAGATCAGAATAAGTAATTAATCACTATCTTTCAGTATTATATTGGATTTTTGTATGTGGATGTAAAGGTAAATAAGGATTAATTTCGAAAGGACGCTTCGAAATAAATGTCATTGCTAAATTTTAATTGACGAAAGAATTTTCTTCAACTTAATAATATATAAATATATATATATTGTTAATATATAAATACGTATACTACTAATAACAAATTTAAATTATTACACGCAAATTATTTAATTGTTTCTTTTAATGAGAATTTAAATAATATATAATTCTACCTAAACAGATTGATAAAAAGATTATTTGAAATCAAGTGAAGTTTTTGACATAAGAAAGTTCAAGTCAAGTTTTTGACATAAGTAATTGCTCTCTTCTCAAATCTCCATAAGAAATATTATACGATTAAAAAACTATAATTAATATACGTACACACATATTATAAGTTTTTCTTAAAAACTGATTTTTGAAATAAAATATTTAAGACAAATTTTCTGAATTCTTCGATTAAGTCGCAATTGCAAATACAATACAAACATCGAATTAACTATATACTCTATTTACAAAACCGTATCATATTTCAGGACTGCTTTCCGCTAAGTTTACTCTCAATCGAAATACGATTATATATAAAAATCTTAACGTTTATCAAAAGCGAGACCGACAAGAATCCAATTTTGTGTCATATCTTTGGACGTACAATGATAAAACAATGATGTTTAATTACAGCAATCAAAGCCTTAAACGGTCTAGATCTTAAATGCTTCTATAATTCTGCATGAATTTATATACTACATATGTAGTCCTTTTTTTTTTTGAAACGTACACCGAAATGATTTTTTGCTCTTGAAACGCTAATTCTATTGAATTACTCTGCAATAATATCATGAGTTAAAATTGATTAGCAATTTTAATCATTTTTTTATGCTTTTTCGTATCTTCAAAACGGTCTTAATTATGCTGAGTGACATATGTGAAAATCTGTAAATAATTAATTCTTGTTATTTAATTGTTTATTTACATCGCCTAAAGACGTTTTTTCATATGCCAATTATTGCAAGGAATATTACTAAGGCCTTGGTAGTTAAAGCTTAGGACGCTCGCACGGAATGCAAGAGATCCGGTTCGACTCTCGGCTGAGATAATATTTTTCACAGTAAGAATTAATTATTTACAAATTTTAATATGTCACTCAGTATAGTTAAGATCGTTTCGAAGATGCGAAAAAGCATCAAAAAATTATTAAAATTGCTAGTCAATTTTAACTTATAATGTTACTGCGTAGTTTAGTAGAAGTAGCGTTTCAAGGCCAAAAAATCATTTCGGTGCGCGTTTAAAAGAAAAAAGGACTACATACGTAGTATAAATTCACAATCATAGAAGGATTTAAAATCCAGCTAGACCATTTAAGGCTTTAATTACTATAGTTTGTGTTATTACATATATGGCCCTATAATATTATTATGGTATTTAATTAATTCATCATTAAGAAAATAAAGGAGATGTATAATATCTGAAATATTTTCAATACTTGGCTCGGTAATATAAACAATAAGTAATGCCTTTTTTATGGTGGTTATGTCGTTGTAATAATTTATCTCGCAGAAGGAAGATTTCTGAGATCGTGTCAAATGCGCTGGTGTATGAATGCGCGCGCTACTACAAATCCGCGAGAACAATAGAGAAACTAACAGTGAAGCTGACGGTGAAGTCTGACATTTCGAGGAAGAAAGGAGATGTCGGATAATGTGACCAGTCGTCGGGACGCCAACACGCGCTGAGACGAACTACTTCTCTTGGCCTTAATTATACTTACCCAGCAGCAGCGACAGCAGAATCATTCTCTTTCCGAATAAAAAAAATCGGCTAAGATCTTCACGTGGGCCGAATTGTATAAGATCAAATCTCTCCCCTGTTATTTCAGAACATTCATAACGAGAGAGCAATTCTCTTAATTGCTTTAACGGAAGAATCGGCACTGATAGCGATGAAATATGCCACCCACTAATTCCCTTCCGGCATTCGGATTTTCCGGATGATCGATTTTTCTGATCCTTTCTTTAAAATATAAAAGTAATTAAACATAGATTAATCATTTCTTAATTTCAACATATCTTTTTCAAATCAGTTTCATTTTAAGATGAAAGATTTTGTGCAATTTTATATTACATATGTCGTAAATAAAATTCTTATATTAAATATAACGCGAAAAATTCTTAATTTTTTAAAATCCATTTATGTATTGTAATATTTATACATAAATGGATTAAAGAAATGTATACTTTTGCGGATTTAAAAAAGATAGCATGAAAGAACAGAAAAAGGAAAAATAAGAAATACAAAGACAGAGCTACTCAAAATTCATTGCCGCGAATAAAACGCTAGTGCGATTATCTTAGATTTTTCGAGAAAGAAAGCAAAATGCAAATTCTTATCCAACTTCGTAGAGAACGTATAGAAGCAATAAAAATGTGCTTTAGATGTATCTCAAAGCTTTACAAACCAAGGGTCAGACATAAATATTCGAAGGAAATATCATGGTCCGCTGCACTAAAGCAATTTTTCGAAGTGCTTGCACTGTAATCTCAAAACTATATTTTTGAATATAAATTGATAGGCGGTATTCATTGTTATAAATTATAATCGAATTAGCTGCCAGGTCCATACGTAGTGCATAGTACAAATCACGTACCTATACCCACAGAGAGAATGTAAATCTACTTTTTAATTATCTAAAGAAGATAATAAGGTATAACTCGTAACTATCTCAAGAAATCCAATTTAAGTTATTTCTCAAATAGTCATTCTCTATAAGCTGTCCTCAACTGAATTACGAGAACTATACCTGTGCGAAGTTGAGTAGATCGTTAATTTCAACGAAAAGGAGAATTCCTCTTCGAGAAGACAAAAGTATGTATAGTATAACGCGGAAGAGAAGGTAAGATAAAATTGAATCTCGCGATAATAACAAAAACGACGGAGAAATCGATATGTTACAAGCACTTCGTTATCGTGGCTTTAATCACCTGTAGAAAATGCAAATTCAAAGAAGTATTTATTACAGTTTTCCAATCAAAACTGACAAAGTAGAAACTGCATATAGAAACAATCGGTAGCTTTATTTATCATAATTAATCACATTATTTCGATATGTTTCACAGAATATTATTATAAATACAGGAAACCTCCCTTGATAGTCAAGGGAATCCTCATTCGCAACGCGTTGCGTGTACACCGAGTGTACAACCGAATCTAACAGGTGTTTTCATTAAAATCATCGGTAATTTGGCGGCATAAAATCATACGTTATTCGTATGTAAATACATTTATATAATACATTTATAATATAAAATAATTATGATTATTTACACATATTAAAATAAGCAGAATATAATCTCCCGAATTTAAATTAATGTGAAACATATAAACTGATTATTCTCTTATTATATTGCCCAAGTATAATTTAATTTAAAACAATAATGTATTGTTTCTCTAATTATTTAATATGACCTTTATGGGAAAATCTTGATGTAAATACGTATAAAAGAGAATTTAAGAGAGTTTATTTATTTAAAATATACTTTTGTGATTGCTTCGTTATGAAATATAAATAATATAACTTTTTTTTCTTCAATAAAATTTTTATGGTAGTAAAATACTGAAAATAGCTTTGCTGTTTTTATTTTTATTCGAAAAGTCTACTTTATAGTGAATTAATCATGAAGAAACTGGTTACTTTTATATCTTGACTGATACGATTTTTCTTTATATTTCAGGTCGTAAAAATGATGATAGTCGTAGTAGTAATATTCGCAGTGTGCTGGCTTCCGTTTCATATGTACTTCATAGTGACGTCCTATCTGCCAGAGATTACAAATGAACCATACATCCAGGAGGTCTTTCTAGGCATATATTGGTTGGCGATGTCCAATAGCATGTACAACCCTATAATTTATTGTTGGATGAATACTAGGTAAGATTTTTGCTTATCTATAATACTTGAACGTGAAAACGACTGCTTTTTGCTTTGTTATTCGTAATGCTTTTCAAAACATATAGCAATTTTAATACATTGTAACAGAAGTTTAATTTTCTTGCAATGTCAGCATTGTAATATATTGGAAAGATTATTTCTTGAGAGTCCTTGTGCAGATTCTACCGACTTCGTGAGATAAGTAAATACATAGATACAGTATCGACGAATCCTCTCGTCATTTGTTAACAGAGTTCGCGAAAGTTTCCCTCTTCAACATCTTAGATACCGCGCAGTGCTTCGCTTCGTAAGTTTGCCCATCGCAATAAGCAAGGACTAACTTAAATTATTCTATGTTAATTAGTGGATCTACACAAATTAAACACGAGTCTTCGCTATAAAATATCGCTCTTAAAGTACAAATTCTCGACATGAGTTTGAGTTTCTATTATAAATATCGTTTATATATCTTATATTTTGTCAAAATGTCACGTATAAATTCTATTAATTTTTAAATTGTATTTGTTAACTTTCTTAATCTTCTATTTTAATAAATCTTTGTTATTAAGATAAAATAATCAAAGACAGATGTATTTACATATTTGTAAAGTTACAGAGATATGTAAAAATAGTTTGTGGTCACTTATTATACAATAGTGTAGCTTTATCTTATAAGGTTCTTAGTTCTAAGAGCCAATTTCCGACGATTCATTTCACCGGCAATCGCTACCTCATCGAGAGTGTTTGACGAACTGTCGAGAGTTAATCCAATATAGCACACAAAAGATAAGCTTATCCGACTTTAGAGATACCTCGTAGGAAGGGTGGAGAAACGCTCAAAGTTATTATAGAAACAGGAAGTAACGTCGTTGCCATTAATGCGTTTACACAAACGATCAATTTGAATGTTGAATATTCGTGATAATGAAAATGTGGTCGACCAAACCGAGATTCCGATATATGCAAAATAAACGATTTATGTCGTCATAGAACTTGCACCGCAGGGATATGTTTTCAAACACGTGCCAGTTCAATGAACGTCGCTAACCGATCCATGTCCATTGAGAAAAGTTGCGCGAATCTTCAAAGAGCAATTGAAATAATTTCGCTTTGCTCGCAAATGAGAATGGGAATGTTGTCGAGAGTCGATGTGTGTGTGTGTGTGTGTGTGTGTGCGTGTGTGTGTGTGTGTTTCGAATTCTCCCTTTCTATTCCCAAATCCCCTTTTATACCTCACACGCATCGTGCATGTTTTGTTCCTTACTAACATCGACATTGCCGCTATTTATTGACATGTGAAAAAAAAAGTATAAATGTAACGTCAAAAACAATAAAATGGAAATATAATACATTGAACAGCTCGCTGCGAGGTAACAGGCATCCGCAGGTCAAACGCACAATTTCAATTTTCCGCATGCTATCGACAGAATATGCTTCAGTCTCATAAATATTCATTTACGTATGACACGATACACAAGTATCATTGTGTTTCCACATCCGGACCACGATGTCATAATGATGGTGAATAATATAACAACGGCGCAGCAATAAGATCGTAATGTAATAATTGAATTACAGCCTTTTCTCTATATTATTACATACGAGATTTTTTATCCGAAACAATTAGATGATTTTGGTAACGTTCTTTCCTTAAAAGATCAATCTTTATCCGTGTGTATCATAAAAAGAATGTGAGCTGTATATGAGAGAACTTTGCGATCTATGACCACAATTATTCAAAGATTTATTTTCTGCGAGAAGTAAAAATACAAAAATACATATTTATATAAGGGTGATTCAGAATAAACGTTTGTCCTTAAAGTATCATATTCCTGACTTAATTCTAAGACGATTTTTCCTTTGCAAAAATTGTATCTGAAGTTTAGTTTTTAAAGACAAGAAGACTTAACAAGAAGAAATAGTTAGCATATCACGGGCAGGAGCGGCGCTCACGGTTAAGGGCATTCTACAATGCGTTAAACAACTGTTGCCAGTTAAAAGTTTATCGCGTCAAACAAATCAGAAGCATAAATAATACTATTAACGCTTCTAATTGATTCTAATTGATTGCCGCGACAAATGTTTCAACTGGCAACGCATTGTAAAATGCCCTTTAGACGCAAGCGATTTACGTGCGGAACGCATACTGATCGGACGCATTCACACGTTTACAAAACCACGTTTCTTCTTACTTGTTCTCTCTACACTATCTCCTGTCATATATTTTAAGTATGCTAATTTTGTTAAATTATAAATTAGAATAATGAAATTAAAATGAATATTGGACCTTTTGAGTATCAGATTGTTTTTTAATTACATTGATAAAATTGTTAGAGAAATGTAGACAATAATTACGAAATTAGACAATAATTATGTGCTATAAGCACGTAATTAAAACTATTATTGACATACAGATCAAACAATTATTTCAGTACGTCAAATTATAAGAGCGTTTCTTATAATTTGATGTATCGAAAACTTGTTAGATGTAATTGTATGCCAATAGACGTTACAATACTTGTAACATGCAATTATTTGTTTAATATCTTACTTTTATAAAAATTTCTCCAACAATTTTATCTGCGTTATCGCACTCGTAGCATTTATTGCATACTTATGAAAAGTATTATGAGAAACGTGATCGCGCTTCTTAGCAAAGAGTTGTGAAACAAAAACATAAGCCAAATACACTTTAAAAGCATATTATTATCTTAATTATAAAATTAGTATTATCTTGTTCAATGATAACATTTTGCTCTAGTTTCTTGAAACAGTTGGAGGAATAAATTTGGATGCATCGTAATAGTGCTCGACACAACGGTTTACTGTAATTCACTTTCTTCACTCAAATATTAAATGTCTTTTAAGTATGTAGATATCAAGTCACACGTTCTCACAATGAGATTCTTCTTTTATAAATTGTCACCTTTCAACATATTGACACTCGCTTGATAAAAAACGAGGAATTTATTAAGCGATTTATTAATTAATCACAAACAATTAATTATTCGGCGCTTGAAAATCACACGAAGGAAGAAACATGTCTGTAAGTCCGTATACAGTAGAACGTGCGTTTACGTGCGGCAAAGAGAAAGCTGACTGACTTTCTTACGGGTGCAGTTCACGACGCGCTACTTGAACTGCACTCACTGTATAAAAGTATCTTGATAGTTTTAAGAATGAATCGTAATATACTCCATCGATCTCCAACATACTTTGTGCAGATTTCGCCGTGGCTTCGCTCAATTCTTCTTCTGGTGTCCGTGGGTGCGTGTGACGTCAGAGCCGTCTCTGTCGCGTTCGGAGGCCGTGACGTCCAGATACAGCTGCACTGGTAGCCCGGACATGCACACCAGAATATCGCGGAATGGTACGTGCACCTTCTCGGAGCACACTTGCACCACCGGCTCCACAACGCCTAGGAGCGAGTCAGAGTCTCATTTCGACGACACTGACCTAGCCCAAGGGGACGCGCGAACATCATCTATAGATTTGCGTCACTTGGTCCCCGACGTGCTCGCGGACGTCGATCGTGACAACGTTGTCGCGGCCAGGAATTGCACCTCGCTCTGATCACCGTTCTGATTCCGAGCAAAGCTTACATCTTGTCTCCGAGCACTCGAGTACATACTTGATTTAATGGAATCGAAGATACCGGCTCGTGATCTTTCCCTTGTTTGCGACGCATGTTAAATTATATATACATTTAACACAGAACATAATATATATACGGACGTAGAACCGTCATTCAACATAAAAATTCTTTGCGCATATATGAAAATTCGATTACTAGTGAGAATCAAATATATTTAGCCTTAAATGTGTAATGCAGATACGAGCCGTTTGCTTCGCATCCCGTGGTTCGTATCGATCACAATACAGCAATTCTGACGGGAAGTAATAAACACGAAACAAACGCGGAAAATGAACTATGATTGCACGTTTGTTATTCGTTAACTTGCGGGAACTATTCTTTGCAAGATCAAGAATTAAACTTTTAATTTGGAACTTAAAAGAATAAATCCTGTAACAAATACAAAACCCTCAGAATTTCCATATTAATTTACTGCTGAAAGGATTAATTCTTGATAACAAAATATGTTAAGATAAAAACATTTGGTATATGTGATTTTAGCGCGTTTTCTATTTTAATTGAGTAGATGTTTTGTTGTTCCACTATTGTTATAAATACTAATATCGTCTTTTTTTTTCTAATTATACTCTCTCATAAAAGTCCATTAAATTTTTATTTTTCGCACAGTATTTCCCTCCATTGAATTTCAATTAAGTACATATATAGTATATCTCTTTAGTTCTGTTATAAGTTTTTACATATGTTGATTTTAGAATAATTGCACGCAATAAAAAGTAACATTCATTTTTTTAGAGCTTCATTTGATTTTTGATACATGACGATGAATTCGATAACTCGCACGAATTATACCTGAACGTACGCATACATTAAATTCGACGGCACGGAACGGCGCTGTTAATCACCGTAGTATAATTGGATATAGCACGATACGTAACAATCGATGTATCGATGCAAACAAGCTCTATTTCTAATTCGATAGGCACGGTGCGAATACCACTGCACCTGCAATCAGTGAGAGGCGGAAACGACCGGCTGTTGGCTCATCATCGCGATCATGGCAAAAAATGGAGGACTTCGCAGACCAGAGGACATGTGTCCTGACAAGAGGAAGAAAACTCTCAGCAACAACGAGTACACACCTGGATATGAAAATATCTAGATATGAAAATATCTAACTCCCCTTTAATGCTGGCGCTCTTTCCGTTAACCAACGATGCAATCGGCTCAATTGTACCTGCGTTTTGCAGCATCCTGGGAAGGAGCGATTTTTTCCTGCTGTCAAACTAGTCCTTGTGTAACACTTAGGCCAAAAATGCAATTATTTTGTTTCAAGAACTTTAATCGAATTTCTCTCTCTCTCTCTAGTCACATGCGACATTTTCTAGTCGCAAAGAGGTATCTGTGTTATTACATTACATGTAACTTAAAAAAATAAAGTCAGAAACACATAGAAAAATGTAAGATAGTGCAGAGGCGTAAGCAACTCGGCCAATCACAGCAGAGAACGTGGCATCATTGTCTTACATTCACTATTGTGATTGGCCAATTCACTTACTTATGTTTTACTGCCTCATGTTTTTCTATGTGTTTCTGGTTTGATTATGTTGACTATCACTAAATTATCTCTATCGGCGTACCATTCATAGTCTTTTAAAAAACTCAACGGACCAAAATATTGTATTTACTGCAGTTTCTTTATAGTGCTAATACATGATGTTTTTAAGAAAATGAACGCACTAAGAGTCGCGATTATTTGGTGTTAGAAAAATGTTTAAAATTAAGGAATAATGATTTATAACGCATAACATCATCGCGTAATTGTCGTATTCCTATCATATATGTATAAGAATTCTTTCAAAGAGAAAACTGAAAAATTCAAGACTAAAGGCTCTTGTTTAAAGCTAAGATATTTCTTCAATCAATAAGCCTAAGAATTAAAAAATAAAATTTACGCATAATTTAAACTAAGTGAAATAAAAATTATAAAATTTCATATATAAAATTATATATCCTCACAGTCAACTGCAAGCTTTTTGTTAATAAATTAATGGCTGTAAATTATGTGAATACATTAAACGCGCACTAGATGTGGTTGTGAACTCGTAGATAATCTGCAATAAGTCCAAACTTATCGCTATATTATTTCTTATTTGCGAAAGTCTAAATTTTAATCGCTTCATTTCTCATGAAATAAACTTAATATTAATACGTAATTTTATATTCAAAGCTATTAATATCGTAAGATTAGTAGTAGGTCTCTTTTTAATACATGTAAAGATAAAATTCAATTACGTTTTTATATTAAATAATTATACAATAGATTTTTTTTCTCGTGTCTATTATTGTGCATGATATTTTAAAAGAGATTCATTTTAATGTGCTTTCCTTTGATATGATTTCATCCTATTTATTCAGTAAATTTTAAAGAAAACAAAATAACGTTGATGAACTCAAAATGTATGTGTAATATCTTTATAACTCATGTTCCTTTTAGATTTTCAAATGTTGTCGGAGCAAGAAATACTCTGGGAAAACAAACGCTTTTTAAGATACGATTTAGGTGTACATAATACACGTCATATACTAACGTAATTCTAATAAAAGTATATAATTAGGGAAATACACAGAGTTGCGTGATTATTTATGAATAAGAGGACTAATGCAGCAAAAAAAAGCCAGAAAACTCACTTGAATATTAGAAAACACACTTCACAACTTTTTGAATGGTCCAAAACAGTTCTGTACATTAATGACGCATACGGAATAATAAATAGAATATCTACGATACCGAGAAATTTTTCATACCATAACTGTGTTGTGATATTTATAACTTGCTTTTTATATCAGTCGCTCTAACTATTGGAATTTCTATCCAGATAAAACTCGTTTTAAATAAAAAATTAAATAAATGAGCAAAAATTTTATTTAAAAATTTTTCTCACAAACGTGAACTCCATCGCAATTAGAGAGAAAAAGATAAAGAGCGAAAACTTTGCAAGCTGATATATTATTCACATATTTATAAAAAATTTAAAATAATTAGAGAATTATTTCTTCTTGTTAACGAAAAACGCAGTCAAAGCACGTAATAAAAGAATCATACAGCTGCAATGTATATACGTTAATAAAATATATATTTGTTATCATATCAGAGATCACTAAAAAAATGTAAACTACGTGATAAAATGTAATTGAACGATATTCAAAGCTGCGTTAGTAAGATAGCGACTGAATGTAACGCAAGGAAGTGTAAATTCAACAGACTCATGCAAAATGCGGTTTATACAAATGAAATACTTATTCTATTCGTTCATTCGGTACTATATAATTCCGTGTACCTGTGACCATATATCTGATAGTCTATTATGATTGTATTCTGAAAAATGCGTAAATAAAATATCCTATTTTTTATGTAGCTGTTACGTTTTAAGTTAATGTCACGAAAGATCGCTTGTATATTGAGAGAAAAAGCTAAGGTACAAACAATTTCTATTGTTAAAGTAAATTCTATTACCATAAAATTCTATTTTATATGTCATATAAATAAATATACATGAACAGAACGATTTCACTGAAAGATTTGAATAAAAATTTGCTGGATACAGATTTAAAAATAATTTTATTGCACCATCAAAATAATTATGTTAGAAACTGAAAAATGGTGAGCAATGCTGCAAGAAATTTTGATATTCTAATAATCAATCTGAGTTTTCAACAAAATTATTTTAATGAGCCAACAAAATTATTTTCAAATCGTAAATTTTTCAGGAAGATTGTTCTTTTCGTGAATGTTAATCATCTTTGAATACATGTTCAAGGAAAAGCTAAAATATTTTTTTCAGTTCATTTGATCATCAAAGAACGAACGTGATCAAGATATTTACAAAAAGATAATTATTATTTCGTAAATAAAGAGTAGCTTGTACTCTAAAATTTATAATTCTATCTATAAAGAAAAATGTGAATGTGATAAGAGAAACAGCTAACTTTAAAAACAACACTAATAACAATTAATTAAAGTGATCGGAATATTATTCATATATTTCATATACAATATATACTGTGAATAAGCACGCTTTAATTTTAATGTAAGCACTGTGCATTTATTTCAATCAATATAAATATTAATTTATATGCGTCATACACCAATCAATACTTCCTCGGCAAATAACTTAAGCGCATTTTGCCCTTATTTTTATTAATTTTATCCCAAGCCATACAATGAAATGTGCTTATGTCCATTTTCTCTATGTACAGCTTTCCCTGAGAAATAGAAACAAATTACTTTCTACACAACTAATTTGTTCTTATTTTATGTATTCGTAATGCTATAAGAATATTCCTCTTTCTGACGTAAATCTTACTTGTAAATGGTCATATTCATGTTGTGCTATTCTAGCAGACCATCCACATGCTTTCCACGTGAACTGTTCAGCGGAAGCGTTCAATGCCTTAATTTCCACTTTGTAAGCTCTTGGCACAGCAGCAGAATATCCTCGAATACTTTCACATCCCTCATAAAGAGTAATGGGTGTATAATCTATAACTTTTAATTCAGGATTGATAAAAATCGTCATCGGGATGATATTCATTTCGTGAGTCTTTCTAACAGTCTTCTCGACTCCCTTCATAATCTCCTCCGTGCATTCGATAGCAAATATTTGCCAGGGAAGTCCGATTTGAGGCCCAGATAGACCGTACGACTTATATGTTCGCATAACGTTTATCAAATGTGTAATTACCTGAATAATGAACAGCAATCAGTAATGCAATTTTGTATTTTTACATCAAATCGTAAAATTTTTAATTTAGAATAGTAGTGACTATCTACAACATAATAAAAAAAATACATGATAAAATTAATTTTAAAATTTATCCACGTGAAAAAAATAGGATATAAAAATGATTTTTACATTGTTTTTCAAAAAATAATTTAAATTTTTAATAATTTAAATAATTTAAATTTTATTTTATAATTATACTAAAAAAAGATAATTATCGAACATAACATATTTTAATATTTATCTTTCTTTTTTCAATTTCTATATCTTATATATTTGCATGCAGAGAGATAACAACTTCATCATCTTTGCGATTAATTATAAAATTCTCTTTAGAAATTATAGATTTTTTTCTTGTACATTTGTTACGGATTTTCTTACTTATTTTGACATTTTTTTTAAATATCAAATAATTTGTATTATAATTTAAATTCAGAATTTTTTTTTGTAAAGTTAAAAAGTATTTTTCTTTAGAGCAAATCAGTTAATTTACAAATATTTCTTCTGTATTTAAATTTTAAAAAGACTATACTGACAAAGAGTGAAGCAGAATATGAATTTGTCCTCATGCCAAATTAGATTTGTTATACATCGATTGTTAGGTCTCCATCTAACAATCGAAAGAAATATTTTCACCAAGCTTTAACTCCTTATCTTCACCAATGTAAG